TGAACGATTTTGTTGCATGCTAGAAAGCCACAAAAAACACATCGCAAGGTTCTTGTTCAAATGTTGTTTGCAGTGAGTCCTCATAGTTCTCCGTCTTTGCAATTGGGGCAATGCTAAGAAGGACTTCTTCAGTTTGGAGAGGCCTTTCCTTGGCAACATGTCACTTCACAAAAAGACCTGCTCCTTCTCCAAGCAGACTTCGGCCCCTTTGGGCCCCTTCGACCCCCCCCCCTACTCCGTTCGCCCGTTCCGCCGGTTGCTTCGCCGCGTTCGCCCCGACTCTCGTGACGATTCGGTCGTTCCTTGATTGGTGAAGATTCGGACGTCGTCCGCCACATGCGCCGCCAGAATGTCCTGGATTCGGTCGGTTGAGCTGTGTGGCGACGGAGCGAGCAAGGCTAGGCTGCGAAGCGAAGCGACATGTGGTCTTCTGAGGCCGAAGTGAGACGATATCATTTATAATGTTATATGTCCAGGCCAAGGAGGAAGGTGATGAAGGAGGTTAGTTCGGAGTGCAGTATGATGATGTTAGTCTGACTCTATGCATATGTATGCCACTAACTGGTGTTTTGATGTGTGCTTTCCCCACTGAGTCACAGTGGCAGCAACGACACCCTGGTACACCCTGGCCATCCCTGGCCTGGTTTTGCAACCCGGCATCTTTGACCGTGAGGTGCTCAAGCAATGTCTCGCCGTTCCTCGCTCTGCTGGCAAAGGGGAACAAGAAATCCAGGCGTGTAGTGGTAGGAGGTCAGGTTGACGGTTGGCAGTGAAGGAGAAGTTACAGAAACCAAAAAGATCACACCCACCCTGTTGAGTCAGGAGCAATACGTTCCCGGTGGTACACTGTCTACTTCTCACGTGGGTCAGCACTATCTCGCAGCCCTGCTGGACTAGCAAGAGCTACCAATGATTATCTCCGCAAATTCAAGGTGGGTCCCTCTTTTCGTTCCACCATCTACTGGGCTAACATCAACAACATGTGGGCCCCAACCAATTTGGTCAAGCAATAGATGCGCCAAGCCAAGTGAGCGTGAGAACCTCCAAGTACGCTCCATACAAATGGTTCTTTTTTGTGATCACATATGCTGGACCAATGTTTTGGCCTACACCCCGTCAGAATGTCTGCACTCCACCAGACAAGGCTCTCTTTGATCAGGCTCAGAATGACCAAACCTGCCAAGGAAAACCGTGCGCGCAGCGCTTTGGAAGGAAGATCGCTCCACAGCAGTATGTTATGTTGGAACCAAATCTGCTGGTGTGACCAAACCGGAGGACCAAACCATCCCAGAGCTTCAAGAGCAACCGGGCGAGGTCCATGGACCTCAGGCGTCTCCAGATGCCTGTTGAATCAACCATGGTGAACATGCTTAAGAAGGACCTTAGTGGTTCTTGTGTGCGCTGCATGGTGAACGTTCGCACGATGGATGACACCAACAACGTAAAGTGTATACTGTCTTTTCTTGAAACCACGGCCGTGCATGGAACCGCCCTGTTAGGGTGGTGGCAACGATCATGTGTGAGATGACGCTTCTACATTGGAGAGCACACCGGGAATAAACACAACGACACAAGGCTACACGGTCTGGTTTTCCCAAAAAGGTCAACTACCAGCTGGCACCGTTGACGCAGATTGCATCAGTTGGATTTAGTACAACCATTCGAAAAAACAACCAACAATCATGGTAGCCACTCCCTCTGCAAGTCAATGAAGTCATGTTTTTGCAAAAAACAAAATGCAAGTAGCCAACATGATAGCCACTCCCTCTTGTCCAGTGCCTAAGGCTTGGCGCGCTTTGGCTTTCACTTCCGACCTCATGAGGAGTTCGCGTGTGCCAAAAGCTGGGCTTGACAAGTTCCGCATGTGCTGAAGTCAAGGAGATCGAACTTGATATTTGGATCAAACACCGATGACTATTAGCCTACTACGATCCTCGCCCAAAGTGGATAACATTTAACCCAGGGCCAACAGGGGCATGTCGCAACATCGTCGACAATGCCCATGCAAAACAAAGCGGCACACGCTGGTCGTACTTCACCTTGGATTCGCAGCAACTGATCGACGTCTGCATTGACGCTTCGACGTCCGCAACATGGGCATCTTACAAGCATGAATGCCAGAAGTCCTCTAGCTGCATGCCATCAATGTCTAGCTGCTCACATGGTGTTTGTTCTGATAGGCTTGGATCGATCGACTGCCGTACTCCCAACAAGCCTTAAACAGGCCCTACCCCTATTTCCTCCCAAGCTGTCTATGTCGAATTATCTCTGCAATCAACATGTGTCATGGCGGCTCGCTTGAAAACCCGAATGATAATGACTCTGACTGTCTACACCTTTCTCTGCATGTGTTTCAATTTCCTTGAAACACCGGTACGCTACGATTTGTTTGCCGCAAAGCAGGTACCATGTTATTAAACATCTCGTTAAACAATAGTGATGTATATGTTTAATAAAATCCTGATGCATTGTTCAAGAGGCTCGGATGATTCCATGTCAAAATGACATTGTAGACCCAAAACGAGACTATGGGATTGGGATGGATTGGGTCAGCTTCTTTGGCCACCCCAAATCCTCTAAATGTGCTTTCGCTATTGGATTCAGTGGATGTTGTGGACATCCCTGCCACCCCCAAAATAAAACTTGTAAACATCTCTTCTTTAATCTGAAGATCCCAAACCCCGCCGCCGCGCTGAAAGCCCATCTTTCACCCAGATCACCATCATGGAGGTCTGCTGCTCTGTCAGCTGCACCCGGGTGGAAATCGCTGGCAGCTGTGACTGCGTGAGCACAGCCTGAGACCGCAGGTTCAACCTGTTTGACCACGTGGAGCGATAGATATATATATATATATACAGTATATATATATGATATATATATATATACAGTAATGCTTTCAGAGCTTCGATAGCACTGGCACCCCAAGAAGTCTTGTTAGTCGATGGGGGCCCTGGGGACCCTGTGCCGGTCCTCTCACCGTTTGCGTAGATGGAGTCAATTGTGTCTTCCTTGGGCTCCTGGCATCGCTACTGGGAGTAAGGACGCTACTAGGTCTTCCTTGGGTCAGAGACACCTGGGGGGATGTTCCGAACTTCTTGAGCCACGCACCCAGCTACATAGCAGTGTATACGTGGATCGAGTCCAGCTACAAAGGACATGATTGCTGTTACTGTTTCTGTGAAGAACTTGAAAGAGGTGGTTATAGAATATATCGAATAATCCTTCGCCATCCTCACGTACTTCCCTGCCCCACCCTCGCCCGGTGCCCCGACCCTCACCCCAGCACATCGCCAGGCCACAATCGTCAGCTGCAGCCTCGTCTCTGCTTTCCGTGGCATGATGCATCGTTGGGGGCTCGGCAGTGGCTCGGGAAGCGAGCCCAATCCGAAAGCCGGACAGGCGGTATAGGTCGATTGGCTGGACAGTTGGCATATGCATAACATAATTCAGGCATAACTATCTGTGGAAGTCCTTCAGCACACGAGAAAGAGGAGACTCGACATCCAACACTTCCCTGAATAGTTCAAACAAACAACAAGAAGGGCACTCTCTGACCTGAGGTGGGAGGTGGGAAAAGCGTCAGCTGAAGTTGTGGGGCGAATTCGTTGTCATCCCGTGGGCTTTCATGGAATAATGGAGTTGGAAACGCGCGACGGGCAAGGGAAGGAACAGTCTGAGCTGGTGGCACTATCTTGAAACAAGGGGCTGAGACGGGCACTTCAAGCAGTCGGTTCTCAAAGCTACAGTGGCTACGTGGCTACAGGTGGAGACTCGTGGGTCTGATGTTGTCGACTTTGCCGAACATGTTTTCGGGCCGTGAGCATGCCGCACTTTGCCATGTGCTCTCTGCTCCCACAGGTTCACAGGAGTCTTTGAGCAAACACTGCAGGCTGGGGCAGCACAAACACCGCTGGTGAGTACTGCAACAAAGCCCACCACCATTCAAATGCCACCCTGCGCTGCACAAGGGGGTGCTTGTGTTTTTTCGTCTACAGGATTATTATCCGAAGAAACACCTCGAAGCAAAAGAAGCAGGGTGAGACTGGGAGTGTCATCGTACGACAGTGAAACCTGATCAAATTTGGATGATTAGCCACTACCAGGGGTTGAAAAGGAGCCGGCTTAACGGACCAACATGTGCGTACCATCCACACTCTGGAAGCATTGCTTCCTTGATCTCCGTGGAAGAAATCACTCTAACTACGTGCCATCGCCAGGTCAAGTCTAGAAATAACAGTTCTTCCTGCCAATAAATAGACCACCAAAGTGTTCTCCAAAGATCTGGTTTCCGCTGGGCTTGAATGAACATATACTAGATTAAAGCAGAACAGTCAAGGGCAAAAGGTTCACACAATTCATGCACACGATTTTAGCTTTATTCCAAACATAGCGTTCATTCAGTGAATTTGGCACGTGCGGAAAACTAAAGTAAAAGTCAGTAAAGGTTGAACGGTTGAACCCTCACAAATATACTATACCCATTCCAAACCTACATGCATGAAGCTAAGCTTTCTACTTAAGTTTTGGGTGGGCCATGGTTCCAACTGTGTCCATGCAAAAAAGCTGGTTGTCTTGAAGGGCTCTTGGCGTACCCGTGATCCACACAGAGAGGCTCAGTATGGGTCTGAAGCACCTCTGGCTGTATTGGTTTGTGTGCCTTCTTTGCCTTTGATGAATTGAAAGGAAGCAAACATATATATATATATTTATATGCATGTAGAAGAAGAGAGAGAAAGTATCTTGGTATCTGTCATCTTCGCATCTCTTTGCCGGCCTCATCATTTTTGGGAGCAAATCTTCCAGCCAGGACTCTGTCCAACCCGAAAGTACAAATGTACTCCACGTTGCTCCTTCAAAGGCCCTCCAACAAAATCAAGAACCAAACTATAAACCCCTCCCAACAGCTCCAACTGGAAGTATCCACACCATATTTGGCCCATGACCTCCATCTCAACAGGTCGCGAAAAAGGTGGTGCCCCAGTCGGCCAGGCGACCCGGACGTTGTCTTGCCGCAGGAGTCCGCCTTCCGCCACATCAGGGCCTTCCAGCTGCTCGGTGGCCGCCTTGGAGGGTGGAAACCGAGAAAAACCGGGAATGGGGACTGAGGGGGCCCGGTGCTGAAGAGCTTCCAAAGGCTTTCCACGGCAACATCGGTGGCTTTCCACATCTCCAAGCACCGAAGACCTTGATAAGTTTTGAGTAAAAGCATGAAGTATATCAGAAATGACCTGTAGGGAAGTCCTGTTAAGGGACCGTCCGGTGGTCATGGATGGCTATATTTTTGGTTGAGTAGTGGTGCGACATGAATGGACACATGGGGTAGTCGCATCCTACGATAAGGAGATTGGTCGAGCGTCCGCATCCATGGATTCCATGGAGTCCATGCTCAGCTGGTGGACTCTTGATTCCAATAGTATGGATCCAACAAGGGTGCGGCACAAATACATAGCCAATTAAATACAGGTATGGAAAGGTCCGGGGATGTGTTCAATTCTGCTTCCTCGTGCATCCAAACGGCATGGAAAGGCGGTATCTTACCATGTTTCAATTATATTCATCTTGGGACTGGAACATTGCACACCAATTTCATCAACTTATATGAACAATTCCCTCTCAGTGCTGGCTTGGCCCTGTTCCGTTCATCTCCGCTGCAAGCTTGCGTCTTTTTTTGGATGCCACGTTTGGTGGGCAATCCGCTTTTCGGTTCTACGTAAAGACAGGAAACACCGGACGAAGTCTTGCAAGTAGGGTGTCGTGAAAATCCATCGCGATGGCAAACAAAGCCGAACATCCAAATCCTTGAGGCCCCCCAAAAAACGAATGTCATAGTTAATTCTGATGCCTGAGCCACCATATTCCATGTAAATAGGGACGGTCACCTGCTATATGTATATAACTATATAAACATGTATGTATATATATATATGCAAATATTGTAGGGTTTGTTGTTGAGTGGTCGACATGATGTGTGCGGGTGCAGTCCTCAAAGCCATTGGAGCGTTGTTCAATATAAGTCTTTCATACACGCTGCAAGCTCGTATCATGCACTACTGAATTCCTGAGGGGCGCCATTAGTGTCAGTGATGTGTACTCCAATCTGCTATCTCATGTTGAAAACCACTCTTTTCGGTTGCAAATCCTACAACAAATTGCTTATAAAAGCTAAACCACATACCACATAATTAAGCCAAACAATAGCAAAGTAGCACAAGGAAGGGGGGTTGTATTGTTCCATGATCAACCATCACCCCTCAGGCCACCTTCAAACTGATGAACCCACCTGATCAGCATTGATGAGCACCAGTCACAAACATTTGCCAACGTCAAACGTCTGCAGCTCATCTGATCATCCTGCCTTTCGGGAGCGTCCCTTTGATGGTTCTTCCGCCATCCCCCCATCCTGCTTCACCCTACCAATCTCCAGCAGTCTACTGCAAAGACTGATCATCACAGGGGACATGGCCGCTCAAATCACGAGGACTTAGCTGGCGGTCCCAGTGGTTGCACTGCACCAGTCTCTGAGTCTCTGATGTTCCACACCTAACATCACCGAACTCAGGGCTCATGGTAGAGGGATCTTGGACTGGATTCCAAAATGCATGGTGTGTTTTAAATGTGTTTGCCACTAGGTGTGCAGGTGTTCATCCCACAAATGAATATATAGATGATGTTGTTTTCTATCTGGACCACGGATCGGGTCCTCTCAGTAGCCACCGGAGCCGCCGTCCCCCGGCTTCTCAAGGATTTTCTTGAAGCGCTTCACACTCTCGACAACCTGAGGAAATGAGCTAATCAGTCCAGAAAAAAGGTCGATGTGTATTTGATCTGCCGAATGTTGGCCATAGTGCACCAAAAAATAAGAGCAATCCAAACATTGATGTCATATATCAGTCACATCACAGGATGCAAGGTTGCATTTACTCTTCATGTTCATGTGTTTCACCTGATACGGATTTGATAAGGTATCAGTTCTGTGGATGTAGACTAGGTGAACAAACGGATGAAGCAACACTGCTCGTCCACTTACAGCAGCTTTCTGATGAACGATCCGCGACAAAATACACTATAGATCAGGGCTACTAATGATCTTCTGGCAGAACAGGGGAACTATTGGGAGGGACACTATTGAGGCTATATCAGCTCCTATATTTAAATCTATTTTCATTGACTCTCATGGAAAAACATTGAACCTACGTGTTTCTATGTTTTTCTATGTTTTTCTATGTTGAGGCATAAGTTGGACATCAGGCCACCCACAACTAGATGTGATCAGGCCCCAAAGAAATCACAATGGTTGCACCACCAGCTACAGTAAATGCACCAGTAGGCTAGATAAGGAACAACCAATCCCACTGAATACACCAATAATCTTGTATAATTATAAGGCTGCCACCACTCAGGGCAGATTGTGCTGGGCCTTTGCAGCCTTTTTGGCACAGTGGCCCAACCACATCTTTTGTTTGTTGCCATGGGTGGGGACCGTGGCAGAAAAGAGAAGAAGCATAAGACTTTCAGCTGCAAATGAAAGAAAACTTTCAGAAACAAAAGGCTTTCAGTGCAGTCTCTTCTGAATGATGTTGGTGATTGATGTGAGTGATCAAGGAAGCCTCAACAGAGCAGGACTTGACTATTCTGTGTATAAATTAGGCCTTTGCATTTTGCCACTGTGGGACCCATACCACAGATGTTGGAATGATCTTAGAGATTCTCTTAAAAAGGTTGGCACCCTGTTTAAGACTTTCTTAAGTTTTGCATTATTCTTTAACATAAATTATGGCCCAAGTGGCAGCAAGACATGGTTCCAAAAAAAACAAGCCAAAAGAACAGAATTTGTCAACCAGAAGAGTGCCCATTCCAACCCATTCCTCCAATATTTGCCCTACATTCAAGAAGAAAGGGGCCTGCCAGAACCAGCAGACTCCACAGGAAAGGAGGGTGTATTTAACAGCATTTGGACCTTAAATAACTTTAATGCTTTAGGCCCAGTTGCTAAGCTAATGCGCTGGTTTAGTTGGTTCCAGTGTGACCACTACTATAGTGGTGAAATCTGGTTCACCAAAATGGTGATGGTTGACAGCCTCCTGCCTGAGGATGGGGTTCAGAATCAGAAAGTGAAAGAGACAGATCAAATGCATTTCCCTTCCAACCTGACCCCCAAACAGGAATTGCAGAAACTCAAGCAGCAGCATGGCTGCTATGCACTTGCACCCATGCTTGTAACCCCAGAATCCATGCAGGAGAAGGAACTAATTTCACTGATTTGCAAGCCATTATGGAGGCACTTTTCTAGCAAAGCATCCACAGTTCTGAAGCCTTCACAGGTCATGGCAGAGACCATAGAGAAGGCTTCAGGCCTGTGGAAGCAGGAGCTTTTGGACTTGGTGGTCAATGGTTTCCAGACACCTGCAGTGTTTAAGAAACTGTACCCAGAGAGGAAGTTTGGTGACTTTGAGCACAATGCACAATTCAATGCCAAGCTGCAAGTCCACTGCAAATTCCTTTTGCATTTGCTAGGTAAAAGGTCTTGCAGCCTTGTGTATACATACCTCAGACCACCTTTTAGGTACTGCTCTTTGTTGACAGCTTCTACACACAAGACCACACAGTTGAAAATCCAGAAAGACTTTGACAAAATTATGAGTTTGGAAGCTAGCAATGCCAGTGGCCAGAACTGTGGTCCTTTGGATTGCATTCACATCCTTGGCAGTTCTTTCATGAGACTCTTGTTTCTTCTCAATGAGAGGGACATTGCTGCAAAAAGGACTGATGCTTCCACACTCTTGGAAGTGGCTGTTTGCCACCAGGGCGATACAGCCTGTATCGAGAGCACTCATTCTGCTGCAAAGGACATTTTAAGAGACTCCAGACATAATGTGCGCTCCAGGATCCACAAACAATTTGCTGTTCAGAACTCCAAGGTCATGGACTCCAGGCGTTGGGACCATATAACTGTCTCTGATATGGAGAAGGCATCAGCAAGCATCAGAGCTATTCCCCCTTTTGGACCATACACCCACCCCAATTCACATAAACTAAAGAAGTGCTTTCAAGAGGTCATGAAGCAAAAGAGTGGTCAGCACTACTGGCCAGCAACCACCCCACAGTCTTTGTTTAATGAAGTCATATCATTTGAGTGGTTGGTTGAGCAGCATCCCAAAACCACAGATACATCCATGACAGCAGCCAACCTTTCTTGCCTGGTGGGGAAGGCAGGTTCAATAGTGGCAAAAAGGGATGGTCAAGCCTTCCTTGTCCTTCATGAGGGCAACTGTGGTTTCTTAGGCTGGGTGTTGAAGGCCAGCAGTGCAGCCCAAGGCTACCCATGTTTTGAGTGCAGTGTCCATCTTTCAGCAATTCAGTTTCAGCATGTGACTGACATGGACCAATGGGTTGATGTCCCATGGGAGCCTCAGTGCAAAGACATGTTTGGACCCCTTGTATTCAGGCAGAATGCACCAGCCAGAAAGCTGATTATGGCGAGGCTTCAGGAGGGCTTGGCCCTCACAATTGCGCAGGTAAACATGGTACTTGCCTTGCATGGAGTTGCACCTAAAAGGTCAAGGGCAAATGCTTACACTGCCTTGATTGAAATCTTCATTCAGGGAGAGCAGCAAAGAAAAGATTTTTTTGACAAATCCAATGCCTATCAACCAGAAGAGGAAGAGAAGGAAGAGGAAGATGAAGGGTACCAGGAGCTGTTAGATGCATTGGATGAAGCAGATGCAGAAAACAGGGGTGACCCTGACTTGAAAGCTGAGAAGAGTAGATTGAAGAAGAAAAAAACTCAGGGGCCAGGGACCCTTTTGGTAGCCCCAAGGGGCAAAGGCAGGGGCAGGGGCAGGGGTAAAGGAAAAGGCAAAGGAGGCAGGGGCAAGGGTAAAGGTAAGGGTAGAGGAAAGTTTTCCACACAGAAGAGATTCTTGGAGAAGCACCAGGAGTCAGAGCCAAAGCAGCCACCCACCAAAAAGGGGAAACCCTCCTTGCCTGTTGAGGTTGAGACCCCACCTGCCAGTTCTTTACCAAAGGATGACAACCCAGGAGGCCCATCATCAAGTTCAAAGGGGCCTGTTGATGCTGAGTCTTTTGATGCTTTGCTAGAGGGTAACCCAGGAGGCCAATCATCCAGTTCAAAGGGGCCTGGGCCAAGTGCACCTGTTGCTGAGTCTTTTGCTCCTTTGCCAGATGCCAGCCCAAAAGCCACATCAGGTGCACCTGAGTCTGTGATTCCTGTGCCAGATGCCAGCCAAAAAGCCACATCAGGTGCACCTGAGTCTTTGATTCCTTTGCCAGAAGGCACCAGCCCAGCAGAAAAAGCAGAAGCTGAACCCACACCTTCAGAAGCACCTGCAGCAAAGGCAGCAGCAGAAGCAGGAAGAGCATTGGCACCTGCTGTGCCTGGGTGTGCTTGCTTTCAATGTTTCTTTTGTTTCAGTGAAGTTTTTGGGTTTGGGTGTGTGGGTATGGTTTGAATGTCTCTGAATGTGTTTGTAACTACTTCTTTGTTGACTGAGAGTTGTGTTGTGCTTTGACACAGCCACTCAGGAAGCTACAGTCAGATCAAGTGGCCCAAAGCTACATGCAACTCCAGCGTTGCTTTCTGAGCTAGAGGGGCCTGGATTCAAATTTGTGTTGAACCACAAAGATCATCGCTTCACAGTGTCCTTTCAAAGGAAGGTTGGCATAAGTGCCCACTGGATTGGTCCACATGCACAGTATAGCTTCTCCAGGTCATTTGACCACAGCAATCCTGCAGATTGGATTGAGAAGCTCAAACAGTGTCATGAGTGGGGGTGGACCAAATGGTCCCTGGCCACTGACATACCAGAGGTGCAGCCAGCTGGAAGTGTTGGACAGGACCCTGGTATGGTTCCAGATTCCTTCATTGAGAGGTTGAGGCCAGTGATTCAGAACCTCCCAGAGAAGACAGTGTACACCAGAAAGACTTGATAAAAGAGGCTCATAGTGCTGCTGCTTGTGCTGCTTCTGTGTCTATGTTTTTCAATTTTTTTCTATGCAATTCTATGCAATCCTATGATTTCCAATTAGATTTAATCTTCTTCTATGTTGGCTTATAGGGTGGAAAACTGGTGAATAGTATCCCTGTGATTGGTCTCCCACATGCCTTGAATGCAATGATAAAGGAAGTAAGTCACACTGGTCATAACGCTATATAACGCTTACAAGACTTATATATAGGATTATGATTATATAGGCATCACCAGTGTGTGCAGTGTGCTTTAACGTTCGAGGTGCGGCGTGTGTGGTCCATTTGAGGAACCTGATGAAGGTATCAGCATCACCTCTCTGGCCCCTAAGTCCAGGCGAGCCCCTCATGGCCCTAATTCACAAGCAATCAAGCTCAACAAGCATCCCACACGCTGGACCACGCTGGTTACCAAGCTGCATGAGGCTGAATCTTCTCGAAGAGAGATTGACCTCATCATAGTTGCAACTGAAAACCCTTGCTGACTTGCTCATCGGCTCATTCATGACTGGGTGAATATCAAAAAACGCAGAAACAAATTTCTTGAGGGCACCTCGTCAACAGGGTATAGTATAGCTGCAGGAGAGGACAGCCAAGAACACATCGGAGCAATGCATTTGGATGTCATTAGATGATTTTGGTGATAGAATCAATAATATATTGAGATCAGCAATGTACACGGGACAACTGACATTTTCCAGGATTGATGGAGTAACCAGGGGCAAGGTGCATGACAGCTGTGTTTACTTTAGCTCGGACTGCACAAACAAAAATCGCCTCAGACCTGGCCGATTCTGAGCGATGGCGAGCGGCTAAACTGCCCCAGGAAGGTGATCTCACTGCACTTGCCATTGGTGTCAGGCACAGCAGTCACCAGGTAGCCTCAGGTTGCGACGTTCTTTTTCCGCTTTCGCCGAGAAGAAAGGGTGATGCAAGCAAACGTGCCGACATACACCGAACAAAAAACAAAGGTCGAGGACCAGCTTTGAGGAGTTGGCCCCCCAAAGGAAGAAGCACCTTATGCCTGAACTAACGACTGGAATCACTAGAATCGCACTTCGCGTGTCAAAAAAAACTGGTGATCTTATGTTTAGATTAATAATGTTTTTTGATGTTTTTTTCGACTTGATTTGATCTTCCTTGTTTTCTTATTGGTCCATGGGGCCATGTTTGTCGGTGCCTGGTCCCCAACATGGGTGTGGGTCAAAATCGGGCTACCTGGCTTGACCACAAAATAATGAACAGAATGCACGACCATGTCTGGAGGTTTTCACCCACTGGTGGGTGAGTTCCGGGCAACTCAGAAAGCTATGAACCACATCCAGTCACCAGTCCCGGGCACCGGAGGGCAGCACTTCTCCTCGGTACATGCCCTCCTTCGGAGGCCGCAAGTCGCAGCGCACGCTGCGACTACAAACGATGAAGACGTTGTGCTCCTCGTCCTCCTGGGGAGTGGAGCCAAGGATGGATGGACGGAACTAGACAACAAGCACAGAGCCAGTTACTGGTACATTATATTTTATTTATGTATAATTGTATATGATGTTACATGGCTTGATTGATTGTGATTGGTACATCTGCCCCTCTTTTGCTGTCCTTTTGGAAGTGCAACTGCGGTGTTTTTTGATGTTTTTTTACATCAGTGAAGGAGGACCATCCGGTGCAAATGGTGAATCAACGTGCGCTGATGGATCTTCATTCGGTGCGTATGGGATAACATGTGTGTGTGTGTGTCAAACCCTGTTTCCAAGGGTCTAATTTAAAGCAGGGGGACAGAGCTCTCTGATGCTACTCTGTCCAACGAAGCTAGGCATCAGAGAGGGAAGCATCCACTGGCCATGGATGTGTACCTGCTTTAACGGTTGAACAAGCTGTCCAGTTGACCTTGTTTGTTTTCATGGTTCTTCATGATACTCCCCCTAAACCTTCCCACCGCGTTCTTGCAACCGAGCCGCGCGTTTTCGTGAGCGTTTCGTTTTCGTGCTTTCTGCAGACTTCAAACCATTTTGTTCAAACATCTACAAGTTTTGCGGACTCTTCACCTTACCGTTCTTCACCTTCCTTCCCAACGTGGCAATTGAGTTAACTGAAAACCAATGTCAGAGTGTGTTTTGAAACCAATCACATAGAAAAGGTGAGCTGGGAAGGGGGTAGCCCCGTTTTCCATCATGTTCAAATTCATTTAATGTCCTCCCTCCCGACCAATGGACCAAGAACCCGAAAGAACCGCCCTGAAATGTACGATGCAAACGGCTGACGCTTGGTGTGCCATCACCAAGTTCCATGTCCTGATGGGCGCGAAGGACCAGCAGCTCTTCCTTCTTGGCATCTTGGCTTGAGTAAACCATGCGTACCTCAACAAGCCGGCGGGCCCTTGGAACACGACGTTTCCTTTAGCAACAGGTGGTGCCATCCACTTCCATGTTAATTAGTCAGTTGGGGGGTATCATGTTTGTATTGGTTGAGTGCTTCAGGGTATTGCATGGTACCGTATCTCCATACTCAATACCGTAACGTATCTCCCTGCAGAAAAAAACCGAATGCACGTCCTCTTGCACGGCCCTGAGAAACTAGTCCGCCATGGCCCATTGTCAGTGGTCATGCTGCATCACTAGATCCAGGAAGGCCATACCTGCATTTGATTGAAGTGTGAGGTAAGTAACGCACCCAAACCTGACACTGCTTCATTCTGGCCCTTGACTTTTCATGTGCCCCAGTCCATCTAACAGGGCAACTCGTCAACTCACGTCGATCGATCTGCCAAATCCGCCAAGAAACAAGGTCGGCGTTCTCCCCGCAGCTCTCCATTTCAGAAACCTCCAAGCATCCCAAGTCGAACTCCGGCCTCTCGGAGACGCCGGCGGAGACGTCCCCAAGGTCGGAGAAAAACAACACCCACGTGCTGTTGTCAACAGGGGGGTTTGCTATCCCATTTCGCTAGAGAATATGGCCTTCCCAGGCCGCTATTCACTTTCCACGGGTTGGGTGTGCGTCCATTTGAGGCGTCCTGGAGGGTCCAACACCGGGCCGCGCCTCCTGCTGGCATCTTTCAGCAGCTCAAAGCAAGCCTCGGAGTGCCAACGTGGGGATCAAACCAGATCCAAGAAAAGACTCATGGGGAAATGGCCATATGAGACACAACTTCCACAAACAAACTGTGCTTCCCCGGCAGGACACAAACTCAGGGTGATTGAGAGCTTACTGGGCTCAAAAAACGTCCGTGCTCAGGTGATACTGTGCCAAGAACTACCCTGAACTACCCTGGACGCAATGCTTGAGGTTAAATTGGTTGCTGTCCGGATTTCATTTGGTCAGTCACAGTGTGCTGTGTGAGTGAGAGGGGTCAAAGGACAAATAGAGAACAACTCAAAACACAAAAACATATAATGTCAACTGACATCAACCGACTATGATTATTCTTAAGTTTAGATCTTACATATATGACTTTGTAATATATGTAGCATATATGAACATGATGCATGTTTGATGTATATCTGGTCAACTCTTTTTTGAAGCTCAACTCCACAGGCGATCGCGATGAAGCCACCCCAAGGGACCCTTGGCGTCGCTTGCACCGTAACCTGCACTGGGCACAAATGGGATCTACGAAGTAATAAAGATTTGAAAGTGATTCTCCTCTGTTGAGCTCTTGAACCAGATTCTCAGTCGGCCAATTGAAAGCAAATATATACCGATCTATTTTCGCTCTTGGACCTCCATGCACTCTATTAGTTGGCCCCCACGCCTGGAGCTTCAAGCGCGTCACCGAGGCAGTGTTGCTCAGGCCGAACTCCACCTGATGGTTCCCAAGCGGCCGTCGTTCAACCCAGGACCGGAAGGGGATCGATCGCATGGCAATCAATACCCTTTCAGCCAACGTCGGCATCGGCATAACTGCACTTCCACACATCATTCATCATATAAAACCACATCATACCACACACCCATGACGTTAGCTTCTTGTTACTAGTAACAAGTGCCACGCTAGTAGTAACAAGTGCCTTACTAGTAGTAACAAGTGCCTTACTAGTAGTAACAAGTGCCTTACTGTGCCTTACTAGTAGTATACAAAAAAATCCACGTCTTCGACCAAAACGGTGCCACGTAACTTCACCGAGTAGCCCAGCTCTTGACACCTCCGGGGTCGGCAAGCATTCGTCGTAGGGAGCATATGTATATACATACTGGGAACAAATCACGTAGGAGTTAAGGTGTAGAATATAGTAGGGTAAGTCTTATGTCATGTCGGAACAAAGGTGTTGGCACCTCACCGTTATAAGATGACCATAGGTAGAGCAGGATGAGATAGGACTTGTGGCACAGTTGAAAGAACAGCCTTGTATTGGGTTGCACGGGCAATCTGGTGATGCTTCGCATTATCTTTTTGTTTTTGCCTGATGACATTGGATTCATACACTCCGGACACAAAGGGGATATGGCAATTGACTTGGGAATGTGTGAATTCCCATGTATGTTTTGTAAATCCCATGTCATCCGAAGGTGGTGTATATATAATATATATATATATATATTACACACCACTATACACACCCTATAGGGCTTCTGGCCAACCTCCGTTTCGCTTCAGCGGTTGGATGTGGTTGTGGTGGGTGCCAGGAGGGTCTAACTACTTTCTGAGGATGTGGAGTTGAGGTTATAAGTGCACGAATGCTTTGAAGACAATGCCAACGCTTCCCACAGTCACATCTTACCACTGGGACCTGGAAAAAAACACAAGAACAACTTGGAATATGTTTTCTAGACTCGATTCCTGCTTGCCCCTTCTGCCAATTTCGTGCAGTTTCTGTCCTGCCCTTTTGGTGCGTCTTGTGGGCCTTCGTCGGTGGCCAAGCGCTCCCAGCGCAAGGTGGCATTGTCATTGAGGCAAACGATGCACGAGATGCACTGCACGGCCACCTGACCGAGGGTTGGTCCGCGGGTGGATGGTGAGTCTTACACCTGAGACCCAGGTCAGGTCTCACCATGCAAGAGAGCCAGCGCCCTCATCACTACAATCCAAAGGGCCTACACTTTAGAATTGAGGATGAGGGCCGCATAGGCTCACCATTCAGTGCCCACAAAGCCCTTACTTGCCCCACCAAGTCCTGGCCGTGCTCTGGAAGTTCCGGGCCGCATAACGGGCGCACAGGTGAGGCAAGAATATACAATACATGTGTTCTCCAAAAGCTGACCCACCTTCAAAGTACAGGAATGCAACCGAGAAAATGGTCTGAGAACATGTTATTTACGACGACATTTAAACACCAGCCAAGCGGGAATTTCTGCTGAAATTTCAGCAGCAATTCCCGCTTGCCTGGTGAACTAAATATATAGAAGCAAGAGGTAGCAAGAGTATGTCTGTCTTGCAAACAACCTCCAGCTTCGTTTGGTCAAGCCGGGAAAGGCATCAAAACCGCCAAGATCCGACATGTAGAATATGATTTGCCAAAGCATGTTGGTTGACCCACCATATACCTGCTGGCAATCCTACCATATACCTGCCAGCAAAGCCACCCAAGTATCTGATTTGCAAGCTGTTGCGAGTGGGCACTCTGCACTTTGAAGGACACCATTTTGCCAAACATGACGTCCTTCAACGTGTCAAAGTATATAATCGGACACTAAAAAGGGCAATATTTGCGGCGTCGTCATCCCCTGTTTAACTTTCGCAGGGGGAGTTCTCTTTGGCTTGTCTGTTTTCATCTAGCAATCTCTCCAAAAAAATACTTGCTTTTGCAAATTCGACAGAAACTTTCGCGAACAGGCTCTCAATGAACCTAGGCCTTATGAAGACCTTTTGATCAACTACCATCCCTACCTAGGGATCCAAGTACCTTCTCAGAAGGCACCTGGACCCTCCAAACCCACCCCAAACACCTTCTGAGAAGGTACTTGGATCCCTAGGGAAAATATATATAGGGTTGCAAATATATTTCTGTTTTTTTTGTTTTTCGTGTTTCGTGGCAGGTGCAGTACTTTGTGGACCTTGCAAAGCACATTTCGTGGCAGGTGAAGGACTTTGTGGGCCTTGGAGTGCAGAGTTTGTGGCAGGCGCAGGACTTTTTGTGGGCCTTGAAGTGCAGATTTCGTGGCAGCTGTAGTACTTTGTGGTCCTTGGAATGCAGATTTTGTGGCAGGCGCAGGACTTTGTGGACCTTGAAGTGCAGATTTCGTGGCAGATGCAGGACTTTGTCGGTGTGGAAGTGTAGAGTTGGTGGCAGGTGCAGGACTTTGTGGGCCTTGGAGTGCAGATTTCGTGGCAGGCGCAAGACTTTGTGGACCTTGAAGTGCAGATTTCGTGGCAGGTGCAGTACTTTGTGGATGTTGAACTGCAGAAAGATAGAAAGATAGAAAGATAGATTGATAGATAGATTAGATTAGATTAGATTAGATTAGATAAGATAAGATAAGATAGGATAGATAGATAGATAGATAGATAGAGGAGGCATATTTGCTTGGTTAGAAAGTTTTGCACCGGGGAGTTCACCTTAAAATATTGATTTCGTGGCAGGCGCGGGTGTCGGGGATGAAGTGCAGATCCCCCAGCAGCACACCAGATCCAAAGGTGAGCAGCTCGTGCTTGCTTGTTTGCTTGCTTGCTTGCTTGCTTCCTTGTTTGGTTTCGTCTCTGCAACGAAAACAACAGGAAAAGCAAATACAAAAAGAGAAAGGAGAACAGCTGCCAAAAGAAAGAAAGAAAGAAAGTTAGATAGATAAATAGATAGGTATAGACAGATAGATGGATAGGCCAAAAAGCCAAAAGCCACAAAAGCCAAAAGCCACAGAAGCCACGAAAGCCACGAAAGCCAAAAGCCACAAAAGCCAGAAGCCACAGAAGCCAAAAGCCACAAAAGCCAGAAGCCACAGAAGCCAGAAGCCAGAAGCCACGAAAAAACAAAAAAAATCCAAAAAAGAAACAAAAAAAATCCAAAAATAAATACCCCTCCATATATATACCCTACAAGTCTAACAGCCTTTCTATTAAAGGCGGTTATCACAACAGACATTATCATAATCACCTTTTTGGGGATATGGTTCTTGGCACATGTATGCACTGACGTCTTTTTCCCACGTGTGGCCATCAACCACGTTGTCGCGAAGACGCCAGAAGCCTAAGATGCTTCATGAATACAATTCAAACAACCATCTCCCAAGTTCCAGCATTCTAAGCTAGTTAAGTTGAAACCAAACAAGTCAAACAGCCATCCCACAAGTTATAGGATTCGATCTTGAAACCAGGCAACTCTTTCATCCGAAATGTAGTGCTCTTCAATCGTAGCCGCCCAATTCGCAATGTCCATCGCGATCGATTCTTCCAGTGCGTGCCACCCCCAACTCCTAAAACAGATCTAGACTAGAAGTCAAGGTAAGAATGGAATACAGCAGAATCCGACCCAAGATCCAAAAGTCCATTGAGCCCACTAACAACGGAAAGTAGTTTAGCCGGGGAACGTTTCAGCCAGCCCATCGCGTCCTCATCTATGTAGGTGTGCCAAAAACGCCAATTGGCACCTTGGGTCAATCAACTTTAGCCCTATACAGCATGATGGTATGATTGATCATGCAAGGCTCACATGGTTCTGCATTTAAAAGCACTGCATCATTCAAAGGCACGAGTCACCAGTGCATCCCAAATGAGATGGGCAAACATCTCAGCCAGGCAAACAATGGTGGACTCAAAGTTCAAAACTTACAATTGCAAATAACATAACGTCTAGAAGATTTCTAGATTTGACTGCAAGATGTCGACTATAGCTTGCAAACAAGGTTCGTGGAGCTTCGGACGGAGGAGGAAAGTCTGCTTGGATTCCCTGGGCCGGTCCGTATTGGTTGCAAAAAATAAAGCAGGACAGTACATGCTTTAAATTTGTTCAACAGCAACCCCACCTTACTGACAAGATTTGTAGACATGTATAGCTCTTCAAGAACAGCATGCCCTCCTTCCACATCTCTCTGGCCACGGATGAAGGCCTGAATGAACAACTAGTTAGTGCAAAGCGAGCAAGAACTATCAATTCAATCAATAGCTAGTAAACTGGTGACCATGATGTCAAGGCGCAACCTTCTCCCATTGGATTCGCTGAGAAATTGCACCCGCGCAATGGAAGTCCTGGGCAGACTATTAATTAAGGTGATGTATGAGGGCCACTAACCAGCGATATGGAAATACAAAGGTTTGTGTCGTGAGTCGTGAATGAGGTCAAGGTTCAAACAAACAGTGGCTAGTTGTAATCGATCATGGTCTCCATGCACACCAGAGTCAGTGGCAGCTCGAAGTTCATGGGCTAACCACTCCATCACAACCCGCCCATTGTATGCTTTACAGGTCATCAAGCGGTGACCATCTTTCTTCTTCACCTCGATCAAATTTATAAAACTCACTAGTTTCTCGACCACAGTCATGTTCATCCAAACATGACAATTTTGGTTTGGACATGACCCCAAACTGCCAAGGTACCAGTCTTGCCGTAAAAGGTGGTTGACTGTGTTTGATGCGCATTTGAATGCAGTAGGATAGAAAGCATCTGTAGGCTTCATCCAGTTGTTCTTGGAAGTTGCCTCCATGAGATCCAAAATGGTGAAGTTCTTCAGCCAACAGGATCCTCACACTGCATCCGAGCAGGAAAGACTGGTGCCTTCAAAGGAAAAACATAGTAATCATACTTATAGCAGTGGACCAAGGGCATAGGCATAGGGATCAGCCACCTACAGTAGATCCATGAATAGTATGTTTCAGATCATGGCATGGCAATGGGAACCTTTGTGCTTCACTTCCTCTATACGTGCCCTGGCATGTGGCGCTGGTGTATCGCGTGGGAAGGGACATCAGGAGGAGGTGAAACAAACCAATGGAGCTTAGGCGCAAAGCCCCGCCGTTTGTGGCATATAGCAATCCCAACTGCAGCGTGTGCATGGAGCAGACTTTGATCATGCCAGGGTGCCAACCATCCAATAATATCAGTGGACCTTGGATCCAATCTATGAGCTGCACAGGGAAGATTAATGAAGGCAACAACTCAACCCCTGAACCCACCCCAAATAGAAACGATGCATACGACATAGTCATTGCATCAAGTCGCAAATGTTTTTGTCTGGTAACCTTCGTGCGCAGAATTGGGCGGTGCCAAACTCTTGACGTAACCAGTCACAACTCTGCTCATCAAAAGTGTAGTAGCGCATACCCACTGGCCCGTTTGCAGTAGCAGGACATCGGAAACATATGTCATTTGAGACCCAGCTTGCATTGAACCGGAACGTAAATTTGTGCCACTCACAGTCACCTCTGTTTTCAGTGACTGCAAAGCAGTCAGAGCCATCAGTCAGGGGCTTTCCTGCCAGTGGTGTTTGCAAAGGTTGTCCCCCCATTGTATGTGTTGGGTGAATTCCAATATATGCAAACTGTAGGCTCCATACGATGTAGCGGAATACCTGATTGAGTGTCCTATTGCGGAAGATCTGTTTTGTATCCCCACACCACAGGAGGAATCTGCTGGAGCGAACAGAGCGTGGTCTGAAGAGCACAAGGTTCAAGAATATTCCAGTGATTTTTTCCTGCCTGTAATTTGTCGGCAACCGAGCCGAATCTCCGTAGAGCCCCACAGGATGAAGCGTGTGTGATCCTGTGTGGCTCACAGCCCACAACTCACCTGCTTCCTTAGCACTCTCCCAGTACGCTCTCCGTTCCTCCACAGAACAGGTGTAGCCAGCTTCATTAAAGCAATATGCCAGCACCTCATGAGGAAATAGCATAGGTTGCCTTTGGAAAATAACTTTTCCCTTGTTCTTGGGGTCCTTGATCGGAACGTGGATCCAATGAATAGCCTTGCATGCCGCCAAAGCCAAGATTTTGAAGAGTAAGGTTGATGATAGTCTTGCACCCAGCAATTACAAAAAATCAAATGCACACTCAATTGAGA